AGGGAACTTGCAGGTGGCTTCTGCCCCTTTGCACTGCTTGAGTAGCACGAAAGGAGTGGCACAAGGCAAAGCATCTGGCTTAAACTATTGACAGCAGCCCCTTGATCTTTTTTTAAATAATGTTTGGCCCACAGTTTGAAAAGGATTAACATCACTGGCTTAGCAGACATCGTTTCAAAGGCATAGCTACAAGGCCAAGTGCAGAGAGAGTGAAAGGCTGGTTTTAAGACACTCAGCCTTTCATATGTTCTAGTTAACAGTCCACAGTATTTCATCTGCATAGCCTAAAAATAATTAATGTATTACTATTGGGGTTATGTAGGTTGAGCATATTGTTGATATTAGGTTCCGTGAGATGGTGTTGCCACATCTCAGGATTTTACTGAGCTGCAGCTTTAAAGCTCTAGCTCCCTAAGTCACTGACTACATGCGACTCTTGGTTTTTTAAAATGAAAGCTGTTTCTAGCCCTCATGGTTATAGAGCAAATCTTCACAGGAATCCTGAAGGCTCAAAAAGCAGAAGCAAATCAAAAGAACCTGACATTTATGATATACTAGTAGAAGACTTACCCGGCATTGCTTGGGTTCTTCAGGGCAGGGGGCTGGCAGTGTGGGGGGACTCAGGGAAGAGCCTTGGAGTTGTAGGGAGGGTAGGGCAAGAGGCTGGGGTATGGGAGTCAGGGTGGGGGATTGAGGGGAGACTCAGGGCTAGGGATGTAAAATCCTGTTTAATTGGTTAAGTGGTTAAACATTAAACTGATTAAAGGAACCCAAAAAGGAATTGTGTGGCGGTTGCAAGGTTATTACTACCCTTACTCCGGCACAGCTGCTGGCAGCAACACTGCCTTCAGAGATGGGCAGCTGGAGAGCAATGGCTGCTGGTCAGGAATCCAGCACTGAAGGCAGAGCTACCACAGAGCTGGGCCCTTAACAGCTACCACTCTCTGGTCAGAACTATTCTCATCCTTACTTCCGCACTGCTGTTGGCAGGTTGTTGCCTTCAGAGCTGGGTACATGGCTAATATTACAACCACCACTCTGCAGCTGCCCAGCTCTGAAGGCAGTGCAGAATTAAGGGTGGCAAAACCCTGATCCTTCTAAAATAACCCTGCAAGCCCTCCCCTCCATCTGTCCCACCTTTGGATCAGGACCACGCCCCCCCATTTGAGAAACACTGGTCTCCCCTGTGAAACCTGTAGGCTGTGTCTAGACTGGCCAGTTTTTCCAGAAAATCAGCCGCTTTTCCAGAAAAACTTCGCAGCTGTCTACACTGGCCGCTTGAATTTCCGCAAAAGCACTGACTTCCTACTGTAATAAATCAGTGCTTTTTGCGGAAATATTATGCTGCTCCCATTCAGGCAAAAATTCTTTTGTGCAAAACTTTTGCGCAAAAGGGCCAGTGTAGACAGCCCAGATTTGTTTCCCGCAAAAAAGCCCCGATCGCGAAAATGGCGATCGGGGCTTTTTTGCGGAAAAGCGCGTCTAGATTGGTACGGACGCTTTTCCAAAGTGCTTTTGCGGAAAAGCGTCCGTGCCTATCTAGATGCTCTTTTCTGAAAATGCTTTCAACGGAAAACTTTTCCGTTAAAATCATTTCTGGAAAATCATGCCAGTCTAGACGTAGCCGTACAGTATAGGGTAAAAGCACACAAAAGTCCAGATTTCACAATCTGTTACACATTTTGCATGGCTGTGAATTTGGTAGGGTCCTACTCATAAGAGAATGGGGCTTAAGTTTTCTAAGCACTGTGTAGAGATCTCATTTTCTCTTATCAGATTCCAACCTGATACATAGCCAGGCTTGGCAGAATTCAGTTTAAAAATAATTTCAACTGATATCTATATTTAAAAATATTTGTGTTAGCTTAAATTTTCACAGGAACACAAAAGTGTGGGTTTCATGCTTTTTTCAAATTTTATCAATTTAAATTTTCTTAATTGTGGGAAGTTTGAGCAGGATCAAAATTATTTAATGATAGTGAGCACTGAAACTCAAAACATTAAAGATGTAAAGCTTTATAACAGTTAAAATGCACATTATTAAAATGGCATTTCAAACAAATATCCTTAACTCAAAGTTCTCAAGCAGCATTTTTCCTGCTTTGCTTACCTGTACATTTCAATTACTGATGGATTTTTGTCTGTATTTTGATTATATTGATGTTTACCAACAATTACTGATAAAAAATAAAACCCTTCCAAACCCAAATATAGTGTTTTATGGTAATTAGATACTAGTATTCTCCTCTTGTGGACTTTGGTATTACATAAAAGTCACACTGAAACTCAAGGAAGAAGCACTTTGAAATCAATATGACTGAGAAAAAATTGAAACTGAAAGCCATTTTCTACTCCATTGCCAAAATTAAGGAGAAAGACTACATCACAAGATATCAGAAATAACATATTAAAAAAAGCAAGGAAGAAAAATTGCTTAATTCTAGAAGAGGTGAAAGATTATTTATTATTTGCCTAGGTGCTTGGTGCTGTACACGATACCAAAATAAAGACAATCTGTACCTTCTGGACCTGACACACATATAGAAGACAAAACAAAAAACAGGACTATGTAGCACTTCAAAGACTAACAAGATGGTTTATTAGGTGATGAGCTTTCGTGGGCCAGACCCACTTCCTCAGATCAAATTGTGGAAGAAAATAGGCATGACCACATATACCAAAGGGATACAATCAAAAAAAGTGAACACATATAAAAAGGACAAATCAAATTTCAGAACAGAGGGCGGATGGGGAGGGGGAAGGTAAATGTATGTGAGCTAATGATATTAGAGGTGATAATTGGGGAAACTATCTTTGTAATGGGTAAGATAATTAGTGTCTTTATTAAGTGTCAAATTTAAGCATGAATGACAGTTCAGAGGTTTCCCTTTCAAGTCTGGTGTTAAAATGTCTTTGAAGCCCATGGCGAGTAGATTACAAGCTGACACAGCCACGCAGCACGGTCTGCGCATGCGCAGCGTGCCGAACTACGCGGCTGGTGAGCGGGGCTCGTCGTGGTTTGGCGAGCCCTGTATATGGTCATGTCTATTTTCTTCCACAATTTGATTTGAGGAAGTGGGTCTGGCCCACGAAAGCTCATCACCTAATAAACCATCTTGTTAGTCTTTAAAGTGCTACATAGTCCTGTTTTTTGTTTCAGCTAGACTAGACTAACACGGTAACATCTCTATTACTATTATAGATGACAAAAGGCACTGAAAAGCCCAGATGGGAATAATTTAAAGGCAACCCCCTTATCCATAGTGAAAGTAACTCACTTATTAGTATTGCGGAAGAAGAGATTATGAAAGCAACTTTACAACATGTGACCATCAGCCATTACTTCAGAAATTAACAGTGCTCCTAAATAGTCTACAGAGGCTTAACACTAGGGCTGTCCTTAGGCATATGCAGAATACACAGCTGCATAGGGCACCATTAAATTTGGGCAATTTAATGGTGCCCTAGGCCACTGGTGGCTGCATAAGCCTCGGGTCACTGAAGCTGGGATGGGACAGCAAGGCATGGACAGTGCCAGCTGTGGTGGCCAGCCCCATCCCCCGGTCCTTCTGCAGGATGCGCCCAGCCACTGCTCCCCCACTCCACCTCACTGGAGCCTAAAGCAGGGCCAAGTTTCCAGAAGCAAGGAAACTGGACAGGGTGGCAGAGCCCTGGGTGGCAGGTGGGCCCCAGGAGCAGAGCCAGTGGTAGCTGGGAACCCACAATGTGGGGGTGCTGCAGCACCCCACAGTTCCCACACCTGCCTCCTTGCTGTGGCCAGGGGCCCCCACACAAACACACACTTTGCCCTCTCTCGCGGACAGGCGCGACCCATCCTGGGGGCTTTGAAGCTCGGTGCACAAGCCTGAGCTAAAAACCAGCTGGCGCTCAGGCTGTGGCACCGACTCGTTCCCTCCCGTGGCCGAAGGGCCAAACCACGGGAGAGCGAACCACGCCCGGCCAGCGTGCGCGCTGCATTTGCCCTGCTCCTCCGCCCGGCGCTCCCGGCAGGGAAGCGGGGTCAGGGCACAGGGACGGCAGCTCCCGGACTCCGCTGTCAGGAGCCCAGCTGGAGCAGCGGGCAAGCCCCACACTCCGGCGGGAGCAGGGCTGGCCCCGCCCCCTGTCCGCTCTCCATGAATGAAGAGGGTGGGCGTGGCGCGGGGTGACGCGCCACGAAGAGTGGGCGGGGCCAGGTGACGCGAGGCGTGACGCGCGATCCCGGAAGCGGCCCGGCCCCTGGTTGGTCGGCGCCCGGGCGGGCGGAGAGGGGGGGGGGGACGAGCTTGTTGTTGTTCCCGCGACTCGCGCGCGCGCGCACACACACACACACAGAGAGAGATGCTGAGAGGCGCGTCCCCGCCACCATTCCCTCGCGCCGCGCGCGGCCCCGCCGCTACCGCCACCTCCCCCTGCCGCGCGCTCCCGACAGGCCCAGGTATGACGCAGCCGCCCCCGGGGTGCGGCAGCCGGGGCGACGGGGCAGGGGCCGCGCGGAGCCCCCGGGCCGGGAAGGGCCGGGCTGCCGCGTGGGGGCGGGGGGGCACCTTGCAGCCCGGGCCGGGAAATTTGCTGAGTCACCATCGTGTGGGACACGTGGTGTCCGCCCCGTCCCAGACCCGGGCTGATGCCGCGGCCGGTCCCGCGCTCGGGGGAGGGGGCCGCTCACACCCGTGGCTGCCCCAGCCGGGGGCCCCACCACGCGCTCGGCGCCGGCGGGCGGGGCGAGGCGCAGGTGGGGGGAGCCGCGGCCAGTGGGGGCGGGAGCGGCGTGGGGCAGGCGCCCGCCTGGCTCCGGGCAGGAATTGGGGGGCTGACGGGGAGAAGCACAAGGGGGGGGCTGCCCCACATCCCGAGGGCAGGGATCTTCACACTTTTATCCCCCCTGATGACCCAGTTGATGAAAATTGTTGAGACTCCTGACCCATCATAAGAGTGTGGGGCCCGGGGTGGGGCTGAGGATGAGAGCTTGTTTTGGGGGTGGGGCAGGAGCGGCTTACTTGAAGCGGTACAGCAGCAGCGGTGCTAAACAGGCTTCCTGCCACTCATGGCACCACAGACCCGGCTGCGCCCCAGACACATCCAGCAGCAGGTTCCCAGCCAATGGAAGTGCGGAGCTAGTGCTCAGAGCAGGGGCAGCGCATGGAGCCCTGTGCACTCTCCTCCCCCACTCACGTAGGAGCTGGACCTGCTGCTGGTGGCTTCTGGGGTACGTTACAGTTTGTGTTGTCAAGACATGCAGGTAGGTGCCTTAGCACCCCTATTGATCACCCTGTAGCAAGGAGACCTGTGTCTGATGTTCCATGACCCAGTACTGGGTTGCGCCCCATAGTTTGAAAATCACTGTCTTAGGAGTAGGCGATCAGAAGAGAAGGCTAGAGGTGAAGCTGGGTGGCAGTGGAGGGGGGTACAAGGAGCACTGTGGATTTTAGGGTCAAGTAAAAGAATGTGGATGGGGAGAAGAGCGCAGAAGTATATAGGATTAGTATTTTCCCGGTGGGAATGTCTATGGGGTGCTGGAGTAGGAAATCTGAGCAGGGAAGAGAGGAGAGGTAAATGGAAAGATTGGGAGGATTTGGGGACCATTTTGTTTCAGGCAAGATGAATAGCAGAGTCTGGAATGGTGTTTTAATTGAGGAGTATGTGCCTGGCAAAAAGTGCGTTGGGACAGGAGGCTAGGTAGGTGGAGAGAAGGACAGGGCATTAAGGAGAGAAGAGAGGGATGGTGGTTGGGACTGAGGCTATTTCTATACTGTACAGGCAATCCCCGGGTTACGTACAAGATAGGGACTGTAGGTTTGTTCTTAAGTTGACTTTGTATGTAAGTCGGAACTGGTACATATTGTAGGGGAAACTCTAGCCAAACATTTCTCCAGAGCTCAGTTTTATTCTCCCACACCTCACTTCCCTCAGTCCTTTATTCTCAAGCTGAGGTGTCTGCTGAGAAAAGCCGCTCCGCGTCTCCCTGGTCTGCTGGGGGGAAGCAGCTAGTGCAGGGTTGCCTCACCCCGTTTGTAAGTAGGGATCCGATGTAAGTCGGATCCATGTAACCTGGGGACTGCTTGTAGTTTTGTTGTTACAACTTCTGTCACTTGAGTTTGGAAAAAATACCCTTGTGGATGACAAAAGTTGTGGACACTAGTGGGAAAGCTTCTCCCTCTGATACAGCTGTTGCCCCTTGTTGGGGGAGGTTTTATTTTGTCCTCATGAGAGCTCTCTGTGATGATAGAATGGCTACACTGCATGTCTTATGACTGATAACTGAAGGGAGTTAATGTTTGGGCTAGAAGCACTGCATCCACTGTAGTGTTAACAAGCTGTATGATTCAGCAAAGCAACTCTACAGGTAAATCCTTCAGCATTTTGATAGTGCTGATGGTGTAACATCTGAGCTGTGGTGCTCTCTCTTAATTTAACATTCGTGCATAGTTCATCTCTCAGTGATTTTCTTTTGCCTCTCCTTGCAATCCCTGTCACCAACCATTCAAATGACATGCAGAGGAATCTATGCATGCATGTTGATTGCACACAGCAAATACCTGAAAAAGGACAACTGCTAGAATTTAAATACTGCTGCAAACTCTACTACTTACAGTATTAAAGGGAATTGCAATTTCCTAGATTTTTTTTGTAATTCTTTGGATTGTGTGGTCCATGACAAATGGACACATCTTCATATGATCTCCTGAGGTGTTGAAACCCACATGTTGCTTAGTCACCTGCTCCACATGGTCACCCATGAGACTGAAAGATCCTCCTGGTTAAGCTGTGGTCTCGGTAACTAACAGAAGATGCCATGCATTTTGAATCCGAATGGCCAGAAGTTCTTGCTACAGACACTGGCATGTTTTCTATACTGTTAAGGCCAAAAGCTAGTGGAGGAGGGGGACACTGAACCCACATCTTAATGGTGGTTTTCCTGAGCTTGTGCCATAGGACAAGCAATTAAGATTGTGTCTAGTTCTGAATGGTTCTAGCAAAGCTGTGCCCTGGGACTGACTTTGAAAAATAAAGAGGGCCTTGAAAATTCTGGATAAAAATCGGTATGGGTCCACAGTTGAGTGGAACACTGAGGATCTGCAAATGCTGAAAAGCAGGTAACTACCACTGTCAGTTTGCATCTCAGTGGCCTTTATCCTCCCTAGAAAATACCTTTTTGCTTAGAAAAGAGTTGTTCTGGGTTAACAATAACGTTCTGTGCTGATGTGGAAAAGACAGGTTCAGTTTCCTGGCCCACTCCTACTAGACTGGCTGAGAATTGGAGTTTCAAGGAGGCATAATGTTCCCTTTATTAGTAAACCCATCAGCCCTTCTTTGGATACATAGAGGTGAGCATAGTATCATGTCTGGTCTTTGGAACAGGATGCTGTGAAGAGGGCTACACCTGGAAGGGGGAAACGTCTGAAAATAGATAGGTCTACAGCAGTTCAGAGACCACACCCTTGATGGTGAGGGGGAGGGAGGGAACATCAACATTCAGAGCATCTGCTCTGCTGGTAGATTTGCCTGGTGACTGTGCAGGATACTGATCAGTTTGGATTTTTAAACCAAAATTAGGGCAGGGAAACCTTATTCCTCTGTCTTTTTCAGACAAGGAAGGGGGTGGCACAAGCAATAGAAACATCCCTACAGTGGGGGGAGGGACGATGACAAAGGAAGGAGAATGGAGGTGTGTCTGCACCTCTTTTTCATTGTCAACTTTAGAGAGATCTGCAGCTGCCAAGGGCTCTTTTTCTCCCTCCCCCCTATTTCTGTGTACCGCTCAGTGAAGGGAAAGGGCCCTGGTTCTCTGGATCCCAGCAGAAAACAGGCCATGAGATCTCAAATTAGGAACAAATCCCTTTGGGCAAAGTGGCTTTGCAGAAAATGGAAAAGGCTCCATTAACTGTCTTGACCTATCTGTCCCCTGGGTAGCTCCTCACTGGATCAAAGCTGGGTCTGCAGAGAAGAACTGAGAGGTAGTGAGCAAATGCTCCTGTTCCACCCGGTGGAAAACTGCAACCCGTTGGTGGGATTTTGAGCCTTGTGTCTGTGGAAAGGTGCAGCCCTGCTCCCAATACCAGCCCAGCCAGTATGTTCCCTGCTGCTGTGGTTTAGTATTTAATTTATTTACCTTGCTGCTTTCGCACTGATGGAGCCGTGCTTGCTCGCCTGCTCTCTTGCTCTCCTCTTCCGTGTGTAAACTGTAATGCAGAGCAGCTTTCCTTCTCTTGTCCTTCCTAAACATGATGGACACTTTTAGTATCCAATGGCAGTGCATAGTACAGATAGGACTGAGTGGGAGGGAAAATTAACCCTGTTTGTACCTAAAAGAGAATGTGAAAGATAATTGCTAATGAGATTATGGTTACTGTACAGAGTGTGGAGGCTGTGCTGAATCCCATTAGCAGGACGTGTGGCAAAATCCTTGACATCTGGCAAAGCTTGTTCAGGTTTTGCATTCACACTTTGGCTTAATTGTGTTAAATGTTCTATGAGATATTAGGGTTAACGCAGACCCACAGCAAAAGTGTATCAAGAATGTGGAAGCAGAAATACGCAAACTCTGTTTCTAGTTTGTAGTAATGTGCACTTTGCAAATTTCCCCTACATTCTGTGCCGCCTCTATTGTTTCTGAAGTAGATTGTTTATAGTTAATTCAAAACAGACATACATTCTGTAATGTCTCAGATTACCAATCAGTCCAGTATACACTGTCAGTCAGTGTTTGAGTGCTCTGTTGAATCCCTGTAACTGAATTAGAGGTTTGAGAACTGAAGGGGGGACACCTGGGACTTTTGGCTGCTGAAGCGGCATGGTGTGCTATTTTCTTATCCCACAAACACACCCATGCTTTTAGCAGATGTTTAGCTGTGAAATACTTAAACAGTGCTAACTCTTTCCGTTATCAAGAAACTCCAAGCTCAGCACCCTCTCTCTCACTTTTTGCTGAGATATTGTTTCAGGCTGTCTAAAGACTCAGGCACGTAGTACTGCATTGGTTCATGTTTGGAAGACATTCTTATGATTTTAAATCCTAAAAACTCCTTAATGGAAGCAATGATCCTCCTGCTTGGTTCTGAAGCAAAAGGTAGAACTGCAGAAAATTCCACTGGCTTGCAACATATGGGACCCTGCATAACAATATTATTCCTTCCTTCTTAATAACGATTGCTATGGAGGGTGAGAGAGAGACGTGATGTAATAGTTGGAGCACAGGATGACTAAGAAACATGAATTCATAAATCCTAATCCCAGTTCTGCCATTAAATCCCACTTTGGCCATGAGTAAATCATTTATTCAACTGGGCCTCAGTGTCTGTGTCTGTAAAATGGAATATTTCATGGCCCCCAGGAGCCAGTGTGAGATTTAACTGATATTAGTAAAACTGTGTTCCTTGCTGTATTTTATAATTGCACATGAAGTCAGAGTGCTGTATTCTCTTCATATCAGAAGCTGTTTGCAGTACGTCTGACCTCAGTAGCTCCCAGTTTCCCCTTCCTGAAACTCCAAGGTCTCTGTAATGTGACACACAAACACACTCTCATAATACCCTCAACCCTCTGCTCTGTAACCACAAGGGCTCTGCAGCGTCTGACTCAGTTGTTTACTAAACCACTGAAGACTATGTGATCCCTGTCCAGATTTCCACAAAAGAGCCTCAGTCTCATGTCCTGGCAGCATTTCTGATTCAGTCCGAAGGGTCCTGAATCTGTTCATTGCTGCTGGTTCTGATCCATACAAGCAATGGGAAGCTAGCTAGCCAGGTGAGTGTTCTGTGTGTAGCTTTTCTCTAAGAACCGTAAACACAGTGACTCACCCCTCCTCTGTGTCTTCTCTCTGTTCACGGAGAAGCTGTTGCCTCACATATTGCCTGCTCTCTGTGTGATTCACATCGTCCAGCGTATCCTTCCCCCCCTTCTCTGTTACAGATGAATGACAGGTGTCAGTCTGCCTCTCAGTGTGTGAGAGGATTGTTAGAGCAGGAGGAGGACTTGTGAATGATGGAGGGGAAGATTTTCTCTGCATTCCACACTGCAGTGTCTTGGGAATCCGTGATGCGTCTCCAAGGGACAGAGGCACAGAGCTTAGGGTTTAAGCATCTGCTGTTCCCCTCACCTGTCAGACCTGATGTCCTCGGTGGATATGTCATGTGGCCAGCTTTGTAGGTATGATTAACTGACGTGACCGTCTTGCAGGTGTCTCATGTATGTCTTGTGGAGGTGTGACAGTAGGGCTTGGGTAAGTGTACGCTTCTCACTGGATGGGAATAGTTGTCAAATTGAAACACTCTGCAGGGGCCAGGAATAGCGTGGCTTTTCAGCATCTCACAGCGGCAGTTTGTCTGGTCTCTGGTATAGGGGCAGGCTGTTGGCTATGGCCTATTGTGACTAGCCACACTCCAGCTCAAAGTAGCCAGCCTGTTACATCTTAAAGAAGAATTAAAGGCAGAAGCAGGAAGAATATCAGGAATTCATAATAGCTTGTGGATAAACTGAAAGTTTGGGTAAGTCACAGAACAATTTCATTGGAAACGTTCTAGTTAGATTTTTAGTATGGCTAGACAGAATGTATTCCTAGCATAATCTTCTGTACTTAATTGAAACTATTGATGGTTAATAGATAAAACTGGGAATTCCTCCCTGCTTAAATGTCATTTCTCTGTCTGCTCCTTAGGGGAAAAGTTGTTCTTGCTAGCTTGTTTGGGGTGAGGGGCTTACAGTCTCAGGTTTCTGTACATGCTGTTTCATGTGTGAATGGACATTAAAGAATTCTGGTACTTCCTACTGGATAATTTATGTCCCTGCCAATGTTCTCTTTTGTAGTAAAATGAGTTTTAACATTCAAGTCTGTGTATGAGCTACAAACAAGTGCATCCATAGCTGCTCTTAGCACAGTGACTGCTGGTAGCTAACACCTTCCTCTGTAAAGTGCTTTGAAAGCATTAGTGTGTGAAAAGTGCTATTAAAACCAAATTCTGATCTCATCTGCTGTGCTCTTTTCTTCTCACACAGCAGCCCTGTCTCACCCCACTTTATTAATAAGGGGTGTCTTGGTTGAGTAAGTAGTGAAAAGGAGACACCCCCCCCAAAAAAAGAAAAACAAAAAAAAGTAATGTGTATTGCTATATGTGCCAATTTGAAACCATCAAACTTGAGATCCTGGGCTGAATAAGTAGAGTGCTCCAAGTTTTCATAAGGATGCTGTAAGTGAGAGAGCAGTCATTGGAGGGGTCAACGATGCGGGTGTAGATGGAAGCAGGGTCAAATGTTCAAGTTAGGCACAGTGGGCATGTGCTGGGGGGAGGGGAGGCATTCTAGGGGCATCTCACCTCTATAAAACTGCAATGCAAAGGTCAATTGTAGATGAGGGAAGGGAGAGGCTGAAAATGATGTGCCATGGGTGAGTAAGGTGTAAATCTGGTCCCAGATGGATGTGGTGTCAGATAAAAACACTAGCACTGTAGGTCTTTACATAATTCCAAGAAAAACACTTGTTTTAAATATAAATGGGAAACTCAACCTTATAGATACTGTACCCCCTTTACCAGGGATGTAACAATACTTGTGCCTGTGGCTTATACAGGTGTAACATAGTCCCCACTCCAGAAAGTATGCAGTCTAACTTTAGATATGAGGTTCCAAATGCAGTTAACAAGAAATGAAGGAATAGAGAGAGAAAATGTTTATACAAATAAGATCACACATTTATATACAGCCTTGCAGACACTCCTGTAAGACATGTGTACTGGGCACCATTAAAAAATGAATGTTTGCAGCACTGTGTACCTTGTTACTAGAAGGAGGAGGGGTCGTCTCTGTTTATTTGCAGTCTGTGTACAGGAAATGCCACATACCAGGCACAGGTGCTTAAATATACTACGGTAAGTGGATAGTCATAAATGACATAAACTGTATAAGTATTTTTATCCCACTTTCCAGATAGGGAAATTGAGTCAGAAGTTGAGTAACTTGCATATCTTCTACAGAGAAGATCGACCATCTGGAGGCCGATCCAGCATTTGATTTAGTGGGTCTAGTGTAGACTCTCCAAATTGAACACTGAGGACAACCCCCCACAGGCATCCAGTGTTCCTAAATCTGCGAGGAGTAAGGGATGATTGGCGCATATACTCTCATCAGCCTCCCGCAGTGTAGATGCTGCAGCAGCTTTGCTTAAGGTAAGCCAAATCCAGCTATGCAATTTGCATAGCTGAATGGCGTACCTTAAGCCGACCTACTTGGTCCAGTGTAAACCTCAGCTTTGAGTGCATAATTGTCAGGATTACAAGTGAATTCATGGTTTGAAGTCTTTTGCTCAGACCATACCATAGGCTGACCCACTGCATAAAATAAAGTTAGCACAGGATAGTCAATCACTTGAGTACTCCTATCTTGATGCTTTTAACAATGCTATGTTATACTCTCGAGGAGGAGACTATTCTCAAATAGGAGCGGATCTTGACTCCAATGTCTGTGCATTAATCGGTATTTCAGAATTGCTGCTAATGCAGAATCAAATCCCAGGGTCTGGGGTGGTCTGTGTTTCCTCTTCCTGATGCTGATTTTGCTCAGTGTTTATAGATAATGTAGTGACCACCTGTATATTGAGTTGTCCCCACTGTTCCATCTGAATCCCAGTAGTGACTTTGGTGGTGATCTGCCTGTCTTTATGCCTGGACCCTTATTATGGGAGCCAATCCTAAAAGACTTCAGAAGACATGCTCGTTTCTTCCAGAAGATACCGATTTATAAGCCGAGTTGCCATTTATTTAAAGAACGAGAGGCATTAGGGAGGCATCCTGTGCTGGAACTGACCCCCCAGCTATGAAGGCTAGCATGTTAGCGCTTCTGCATCTATTTCTAGAACACTTATAACATCCTGGGCCTTTATTAAATTGTGTGCAATAGTGTGCCTGGTCTTGTATTGAACATGGAGGAGTCTAGGACCTGCCTGTGAGCAGTGTGGAATGTAAATAGACATCCCTTCAGCAGACATCTGAGTACAAAGCAACAGGTGACCAGAAAGGGGGGAGAGGTCATCACAGAGTCGCAGGAGACTTTCAAAGATTAGTAGAGTTACTTTGGATGGCAGACTACCCCAAACAGTGACCCCAGAGGGAGTCTCCACCCTCAGCACTTGCTTTCCACATTATTCCACATTTCTTTCCCTCTCTGAGCAGTCAGCCGCGCATTCAGTTTTTCCATCCGCTGGTTTAGAAAGTGCTTTGAAGACTCACTGGGTGAGATCAAAAGACTTTTTGTGTAATCGGTGGGTGTGACAGAGTCATGTTCTTCCCCTCTCCTCCTCCCCTGCTTGACTTCCCTTTTCCGTTTTTGCTGGGCCAGGTGCTGACAGCAGGACTGTGGTGTGCCCCTTTCCCTGTGGGGATGGGGGGGGGCGGATGCGGAGGGAAGGAAAGGTTTCTGGGTCTGTGGGAATGTGAGCTCTTCAACTCTGTAAACAGCTGGTGACTCACTGCATAGCTATGGCACCAAGTGACTGCAAGGCCTGAGGCTGTGTGTGAAGGGAGGGGGCTGCAGCCTGTTTCTTTTATACTCTAGCAACTTTGCTGCTCTCCTTGTTACTCATTGGGACCCTCTGGTCAGGACTAGGAACCCTTCTTTCTCCTTTCTGGGTTATGATGTGTGTGTGTGTGTGTGTGTGTCTCTGGTGTGAGCAGGAGCATGCTTGGCCGAGGGTGGCTCATGAAAGGAGAGAACTGTAAAGGGGGAGAAGTGTCTGGACAGATGTCTGTGTGTGAGCGGGAATACCCGAGCCTCCCTTAGGCTTCTCAGTGCTGCAAGTTTTGTATTTCACACAGAAGGCTGGTCAGACTCCAGCTCCACCCCATCCCCTTTTCCACTCCGTATGTGGTGAGTTGCCCTCCCTGGTGGGTTTGTGCTGCTCTGGCTACGATGAAAAAGGACCATTTGTCCGTGGCATTTTTGGTGCGCTTAGCTGAGTCAGCTCCTGCTGCCAGGGAAGAGGTGAGGGTAGCTGGCACTGCTGTCAGGATGGGGTGTAATATGACACAATGCACCAGCCTGTGTGGTGCCGCACAAAAGACACTGCGTACCAGTCTTTTTTAAGTGGCCCATTCATCATGAGGCGGCTCTCGCTGGTCTGGCTTGTGTGCTGTGCGATAGGCACTCGGGAGTGGGGTGAGGTGAGCCATGCAGATGAAGAGATGGAAAGCTGCTTTTGCTGTCTCAGTCTGGAAAAGGGATGAGGTGCTTTATTGGAGACATTCTGCAAACCAGGGAGATGCCTTCACTTTGAAATTCTGTTTTCTTTGTCTTTCCTCTGTCTCAACTGTGTGCATGTCACATGATGAGGTATCTTGACTGGTACCTTTCAAGCGAAAGCAGCATGAGCTGAGCCAGCCTCCTTTACCCCCACAATTCCCTGTTGCCCCCTGCACCCCACCTTCATGTGCCCTTGGACCTCCCACCTCCAGGGTTGTTTGACGATATGAATGAGTTTGTTTACTCTCTGACGACCTCATGATGTCTTTGCACAGACATGACCTGAAGTCATTATTGCTTTTGGGCTTCTCTGTTTCCATGGTTACTGTCTCAGGGTTGGCTACTTTCCCAAGGTCACCATGGCAACTATCAGAAGGGAATCATGCTTGGGATGCTTTGGCTGTATTTTTCATGAATGATTAGAATGTGTGACACGATGCAGACGTGGAAATGCGAAGGGGAGGGGGGAGCAGAACTCCCGCCAGACCGTCTGTGTTCTGTACACCCACACCACTGCAGCCTTTGAAATCCACTACAGCCGCTCCTTGGGAGGGACAGACTGTCAGAGCTGGAGCCCTCGCACCCTCCCCAGCCAAGATGCTGGGGAAAGTATAGGCAGATGCTGTGATGTCACAGCTGCAGTGCCCTCTCCTGTGGTAGGTACATCACGGACAGGCACGCTGGCAATGTCATCTCTCCAACTTGGTGGATGTGAAGGTTCTGGAACAAGGTCCAGCTGGATGGATTCTCTAACAGGCTGATTGAAGGGGAGTAGCAAGCAGCAAAGGTGAGAGTGAAGGACAGCTTGGCAGCACAGGACACGCTTTGTCATAGACACGCCTCTAGGAATATCAGACAGGTGACTTCTTGCAGCCGTAGGGTGAGAGACTCCTGAAGCAACAGGCTTGATCTGCCGGGAGGCACAGAAACTCATCTTGTGTCTTAATAATTGGTTTTGCCCTCCCCCCCCCTTTTTTTTTTAAAGTGATATATGCAGGTGTCTGTGGCTAAGGGTTAGTGGTAGAATATGGAGCTTTCTTACCCAGGCTGCTGGTTCAAGGCCAGCCCAGGTCAGTAATGACCAAAATGGGAGGGGAGTGATGGCGGCGTTACTGTCTGGTGGCTTTTCAGTGGCTTTTGTGAAATGAGTTGTTGGTCTCAGTCCAGTCCCCAGCAGCTGGATCTGTATATCTCAAAATCCTCCACAGGGCGGATGAAGGACTGATTGGCTCATGGAGACTGAACTCCTCTCCAGCCCTTAGAGGTGAGCTAGCACATTGTCAAGGGAGTGTGTGGTTGCCAGCACAATTGCTACTTGTGGATCAATGCTATATTGCATCCGGATGTTTCTCTAAGCAAAAATATTACCAAGAATTTAAAACAAGCCCTATTCAAAAAGGCAAAACCAGCTGTATTTATATATGGCACTTCTGAGTAATACAAAGAAGACCCTCCCATATGTAGCCAGAGGTAGAAGACATGCCTCTCTGAGTCTTTTTGGTGGTCCGAAAGGGTGATCATTTTGTCAGTGAGCAGTTCTAGAGCCCCAAAACTTTGCATGGTGCTGTAGAGAATGGGTCACGGTGTCTCAACTGCTGGTCTCTTTCCTTCCCTGTTCCTTAGAAAATCTTTTGTTGTTTTTTCCAGTTGCAATTTCTGAGCAGTTCTGTCCAGGAGACTGTGCCCAGGTTATGACGACTAATCCCAAACCAAACAAGACATTAAAGGTAAGGCTGTGGTGGGAGCCCAACTGGGATGATTCTGGATAAATGGGACTGGTCAAGGACAGTGTTCCCTGTATGCTGAGTGCTGGGGCAGTCACCCAGGAGAGAGTCAGATGTCACGCAGCTGATTAGCAGAGTGCCCACAGCTGGCAGCATGTGTTTCTGCTGGTGGTGCACATCTGCACGTGCCTTGGTGTATGTGATATGGATGGAAAACATTAGAGGGAACATTGGTCAAGGAGCTGCTGTGCCAATAGTGCCGAAAGCCATTTATTCTTAAAGGCAAGGGTGGGTAGCCATTTTTGGGACCAGCGACACTAACCCACAGAAAAAAATCAGGTGGGGATGAGGGGGGACTATGCAAAAATGAGAGGCAAAAAAAAACAACCACCCGCCTGAACTTAGGCACGTGCACACACACCCTCCACCCCACAAAACCCCTTGATGTGATGTTCTTTTTTATTTAGTGCTGTAGTATGATGGCTGAGTTTGCTTTTCCCTGCTAAGCCTCCCTTTTCTGGGTGCCCCATGCAGGGAATTGGCTCGGGGGTTTTCCTTCCTTCCCCCTCTTGCAGGTGGTACCCCCCTTCCCTCCTGGTCCAGCAAGCCCCCCTTATATGCAGTAAGAGGAGTTGCTGGCAGCGTGTGGCTGGGACTGGACACTGCAGGAAGTGGCTGCCCCAGGTGGCTCCATGCTGCAGCTGCCCCAGCTGTTTCCCTGCTGCTGCCTGGCTGCCAGGCGCGAGGAAGGGCAGCGAGCACACAAGCAGGGAAGGAACTCCTGTTTCCATGCTGACACATGGCTGCCTGGTGCAGGGAAGGGGTTCTGGTGTTTGATGCTTCCCCCTCCAGCTACCTCGCCTGACTGCACCTCCTCTCCTACATGCAGGACAAGGAGCCGGAAGCGTCTGGCTGGTACTGCAGGTGAGGTTGGGAATGAGGTCTCTGTACACAGCCCCTGGACCCCTACAGCAGTGCATAGCAGGGGCTAGACTGAATTGTCCAGGGGGCCATATTTGGTCCCCGGGCCAGAGGTTTCCCCACCCAATTTCTAAGGGATTCTGTTTGCAAATTAGTGTGTCAAAATGTTTCTCTGGTATCTCCTGGGGAGCACTTGTGAAGAAAGCATAGAGGGGCACTGGTGACATTGGGGGGGGGAGGACTAGAGTCTCTGGGATTGTGCATTAGTAGAGTATCCCTGTTGGTACTAAAGAGACTCTTCTAACTAGGCAGGGCTTGAGGTGTATTCACAGCATCATAAAATGTATGTTATGTGGACAGGTTGCTGCTCCTAGGGGCACATGCACTTGGATAAGGAAGACACAGATTTGCCACTCTTACCTATAGTTCTGTGTAGGCAGTGAACTCTTCATAAATAGACTTGCTTTATGGCTTTCACTGCACATTTTACTGATGAGCCTGTGGGAAATCCCTTCTAGTGTCTTGAGTCTCTCCTCCAGGCATCCTGCATTTTCTGTAGATGTTTTTTACCCCCTCTGAGTTCTACAAAAAACAAGTAACCTCTTAAAGGCTGAGAGAGTTCCTCTGTCTGCTTCATCTAACTTCCCTGTACTATGGCCCAGTAAATAGGACTGCAGCTTTAACACGGCAGGACGTGGTCTTATAAGCGAAGCAGAGTTGGGGTTGGCCCGTACATGGACGGGGAGACCTGCAGAAAAGAAATGCACAAGGTACAGGAAATGGTGATGTTGATTTAATGAATGGAACTTTCTTTTGGGTCAATTCTGACCCAATGCCTTAGCATAGTCTTGCAAGGTACTGTGCTGCTGGAGAGGAGATCTAAAACTCTGGCCTAGGGATCTTAAATTGCGAATAATTGACTAATCCAATAGTTAATGCATTTTTCATTGACTATTTGGTTAGTCGATAGGGTGCCTCCACCTTTGAAGTGTAGCAACAGCCCTAAGGCGAAAGCACCACGTGGAGCCCAGGATCAGCTGGGGACTACCCTGCTAATCCCGGGCTCCATGTGCGCTGCCTTTTTGAAATGCTGTGAGGAGCCCAGCGTCAGGCTCCACGCAACATTTCAAAGCAGCAGCATCACACAGAGCCTGGGGTTGGTGGGGGAGTCCCCAGTTGATCCTGGGCTCCACACAGCACTGCTGCTTGTAATGCCACATGCAGCCTGGTAGAGGCAGCAATGGGTGGGGGAAGTAACTAGTCGACTAGCCTGTCGACTATCCAATAAGCATTTGCTTATCTTATAGTTGACTAGTCCTTCACATCTCTACTCTGGTCCCGATCTCTTATGATACAGATCCCATGGCATGTTTCAGCTCAAGCAATATTACTTCAGTCTCTTTAAAATGCTCATTGTTTTATCTGGGTAAGGTATCCATTGCTGGGCCCCACTGACAATGGCAATGTCATGTTGACCGAAAATATCTAGAACTCCAATCATAGTGGTTTCTAGGCCATGAAGAAGCTATGCAGCCCAGAGGTGGCTGCTTTTCAGTAGTTATGCATAGGTTGTGGAGTGCTTTGGGATTGTTCTGAGAAGTGCTATATGACCATTCCTGCAGGGTAGCATAGTTGCTTTCTTGCTCAATACCAGTTCCTGTTGCTCACTCTGATGGGTGACCTGTGGCCCATTGGGGATCTACGTGTGGGCCCGCAAGACGCATATTATTTCCCACATGCAGGGTTCCCAGCTTCTGCTGGATTCTGTCTGTCAGTTTTTTCCGACCAGTATTACTAAAGTGACACGCACATAAAGCAAGGGCACAGGAAGTGAGGTAGGTGCTGATTGTACACAACACTGACTGAGAGCCGAGCACTCCTTCTGCATCCAGTCAAAGTGCTGCCATGGTTCAGTCAGCCCAGCCCGCAAATTCTAGGTGCACAAACGCAGTGAGCAAAAGTCCCCTATCCCGGAAGACTGCCTTGGTTATGACAATCTTGCGGCCTGCTGAGATGGAGGGCCGTTCACTAGCCTAGGTTGCCCATCACTGCTCCTGACTGTTATCTCTGTGAAATTGATGTTTGCAGGTAAAGGAGGAGTCAGGAGAGAACGCCCCAGTGCTGAGCGACGATGAACTTGTGTCAATGTCTGTCCGGGAGCTGAACCAGCACCTGAGGGGTCTCACCAAAGAAGAGGTCATCCGCCTGAAGCAGCGGAGGCGCACGCTCAAGAACCGGGGCTATGCTGCCAGCTGCCGCATCAAACGTGTGACGCAGAAAGAGGAGCTGGAGAGGCAGCGGGTTGAGTTGCAGCAAGAGGTGGAGAAGCTGGCCCGAGAAAACAGCAGCATGAAGCTGGAGCTGGACGCCCTGCGCTCCAAGTACGAGGCGTTGCAGACCTTTGCGCGCACTGTTGCACGGGGGCCTATTACTCCGACCAAAGTCGCCACCACTAGTGTCATCACCATTGTGAAATCAGCTGAAATCTCATCCAGTTCTGTGCCATTTTCAGCAGCATCCTAGTGCCCTAGATGGGGGAACTAGCCACCTTTTGGAGGGGAGGGGAAAGGGCTCTTATGCACCGTTCTAGAGTCCTTGGTCACTTCAAGAATTGGCATTTTAACAATTCCTTCCTTCTCTTTCAAAAGTCCAAAAAAAAAAATCGACAAAGGGAACGTAACTGGCTGCTCCTCTGTGAACTTAGTGGTTCTATGAAGCTCTTGTGGATGGGATTAGAGCTCTGTATCTAGTCTGAGCTCTCGCTTCCTCCACCCCCTGCCTCCCCAACCCCCTTTAGGCTGTGGGCAGCTTCCCAATTGGAAGAGGATACCGGAGGAGCCTTCGAGCCTTTGTGAATGATGTTCAAGAGCCAGGTAACAGATGGACTGTAGAAATCATGTGAGATGAATGTATAAAGAGTTTCCTTCAATGGCATCCATCTCCCATTAAGAAGTTACCTCACCCCGCCACCACCTTCCTCTGTCCTAGAGTGGCAGAGACATAAACTCTAAAGCAGAGTTCATTCCACCATGCACTGGGGCAGAAGAGGAGGGTTGGTCATACAGAGAGTAATATGTTTGGATGAGACCATACCAATTAGGAGAAACCTTCTTGTCGTCAGCCCATTACTGGTTACCAGTTTACATGTTTTAATGTACCCCATACCTGTGTGGCCTATAAAACGAAATTGCAGCCTCCCTTACACAAGCCAAGTGTACCAAGAGCTCCTTCCCCAAGATGTGCCTGTAAATTGGGTATATTTATGCAGTTTATTTCTTCCAGATGATCCACAGGTTTGTCATAGTGGCTTATTCAGGGTTCCTTGAAGCTCAAGGGAGGAAGACCCAGTAAAATTTAAGATGGGAGGTATGTTGGGAGGCCTAGAGAGAAATATTAGAAGTATTACTGAAGCAAGGCAGAATAGGTTGCTGTGGGGGGAATTGTTCTTCGTGAAATCAGCACTGTGAAAAGGTATTTCTGGAGAGCATGCTAGAAAGATGTGTTAAAAGCACTGAAGTAATCAGAGGGCCAGTAGCGTATGTGCAAGAAGATTAAAGCCAGCAGAGTCCTGGATGAAGGAGACAGTGGTGGCTAAAGCTTTTGTCCCAACCTCAGGAGCCATGTATACTGGTCTTTGCCAACAGGAGATGGGGTCTGGGGTGCTGAGTGGAAGTTAAAAAGAGGAAGAAAGATTCTTAACCCAATCTCAGTCATTAAAAGCTGAGTTCCAAAGAGTAAAAAATAAAACCTACAGTGTTTTGTGTTGATAGGATTTAGAGAATCTGTCTGAAGATAACCTTGAAACTCATCATCCCTTGGGGTGTGTGAATTATCCCAAGAGATACAGGGAGAGCAGAATTGGAGTGGTTGGCTTTGAGGGGATGGTCAAATTGGGGTCAGTAAGTAGGGCTTATGGTTCTGAAGGACAGGCGTGGCTCAGCAGCAGGCAGCCAAGCAAAGAGTCCTGATCTTTAGCAGGTCAGTTTCTAGGTCAGTGTAAATATAGCTATGTTGATGTTTGTGCGATTTGAAGTAGGAAAGAAAAGGGATTGCCTGGTGTTCCATAGTAGGGCAAAGACTTGAGGGTGTAAGCTTGGGGGGTTCTAGAGCAGGCGAGAAAAGGTTGAGACTCCTGAAGTTTCATAGGCTTGGAGGAGATGGCAAATGTTCATATTCAGAAGTTTGGCAAGCTAGTGTTCCAGAGTAAGGTACATAGGAGAAGACAGAGAAAAATGACTGGTGTTTTAGACTAACCCAACAGGATAAAGGAAGATGCCCCTGTAATTAAACAGGACAGAAAATTAGCAGCCTAGGCCAGTGTAAGATACTGTTTGTGAAGTCACCTTGTGTCTTGAATAGTAAGAAGAGTGTGTAAGTTTAGTGAAGCCCCATCTTTTTAAAGGCAAACACAGGTTGTTGTTGGCTCACTTTTTGCCCAGTCATTGGAGTCTCTGGGTTTCCCAAGAAGGTACTTGAGTCAAGTAGTTGGGGAAGCAGAATGTGGTTCTCATTCAGTCCTAACTATCTACACTGATGACTTTACTGAGCCATAGAGTGTGTAAGAGTAATGCTGGCTTTTAGCCCACCAGATCCATCTCCTCCTAGTGAAGAGCAAGAAGTTACCTACAAATACAGTTTGGGTGGTATTTAGCTCCACTTCTGTACATCTCCTAAAAGGCAGATTGGTGTCTTGCATATTGGTACCAGTTACTGGCTCTCTTCCCCCCCCCCCTCCCCCCCAGCAAAAACTGAGTAAGAAGGATATTTCAACAGTACCTTAGTTGCTTTTCATGTTCTGTAATTCAAAAATATTTGGAAATCTTCCCAGATTTTTAAGGTGCCTCTATTAAAACAGGCAATGTCTAGACTCCTAGCACTGGTGGAACTTTAAAAAAGAAAAACAGGAAAATATCCAGTAGACTTGGGAATGACTGAATGTTCCCAGTTTCTAGAATATCTCCACAAATGTCTTGACATTCTTGAATTGATAAGACTACCCCGCCCTGGGGCATCCCTCTCTGTACCAAGGAAATGAGATGAACTCGGCAAGAGCATAATGGGAGTTAAACATCATTCTGTTTGGATCTCTTGTTGTTGGAATGAGCTGGGGAATATATCTGAGTTCTTTACTAGTACTTCCATTATGACTGAGTATTTTCAAGCTCTCAAAAGGTGCCAAAGCCTTGTCCAAGTGATTGCTGGTTTAGTGCTAGTAGGTGCGTAATCTCTGCTCACTCAATCAAGAATGAGGCCTGTGTGTTATTAAAGCTGTTGATACCATAACCATGGTAGGTAATCCATATTGGATATCCATAAGGACCACGTGGAAATATTTAAAAAGAGAAATATATATATATATATATAATTATATACATTTTATTGTACAGATTTTTCGTAACTTTTTTTTCCAAGTTTGATACTGTAAATCTTTACTAAAAGAAATTGCCAGTCCAGGGCTTCTGGGGTGGCAGTTGGGGGGGGGGAAATATATATATATATATATAATTATATACATTTTATCGTACAGATTTTTCTTAACTTTTTTTTACAAGTTTGATACTGTAAATCTTTACTAAAAGAAATTGCCAGTCCAGGGCTTCTGGGGTGGCAGTTGGGGGGGGGGAGAAATGAAGTGTGCTGGCTGACTAACAGGTAGTTCAGAATTGCAAGGTGATCCAGAGGGAGGAACAATCTGAAAGCTGCTCACCCTATTGGAGAGACAACTTGCTCTTTCTTAACTTTTTTTTACAAGTTTGATACTGTAAATCTTTACTAAAAGAAATTGCCAGTCCAGGGCTTCTGGGGTGGCAGTTGGGGGGGGGGAGAAATGAAGTGTGCTGGCTGACTAACAGGTAGTTCAGAATTGCAAGGTGATCCAGAGGGAGGAACAATCTGAAAGCTGCTCACCCTATTGGAGAGACAACTTGCTCTCCCTTCTTCCTCTGTTTCCGTTCCGTCCTACACTTGCAAATCTGATGCCCAGGGCGAAAGCCACATAAGGGGAGTTGGGCCACTGCCTGGAGAATCTCTAGGGGAGCCCTGTTCAAAAGGAGCACTTATCTCTTCCAACTCCTTCCACTTCCTGCGGGTCTCTCCGTACTGTAGTAACTTTAATCCTAGGACTCCTGTCTCCCCTCTCGTAACACCACCCCTAGAGGGAAGCAGTGAGTATTAACTTTGAGGACTAGGCTCCATTTCTGAGCCCTACCCTTCAATTCCCACCGTGTACATAGGAATCATAGTATGAAGGTGGGGACGTTAGAAGCAGCCTGTGGTATGTCCCCTGACCCACAATTGGGGCACTGTGGGATGTTTACATTGGGCAATAACAGGCCTTTCTTCTCGGGGCTTCTCTGTGCTCCTGTACATGCGTTTGTTGTGTTCTTGACTGCGACTGGGAATAGTCTCCCACCAGAGAAAATTGAGAGCCCTTTGAAGGAAGTGAACATCTTCGTTCTGGCCCACTTAAATCTTCTGCCTGAGGAAACAACATACAATGAGCAAAACATTTGACTGCTGTGTAATGCCACCTCTTTCTGGAATGAGCAAGGGAAGACAGCACTGTGAGATGAGTAACAGGTGGGAGGGAATATTGAGTGGCAAGGTGAACGATGTATTACTGGGGTAGTGGGGCATTCAGGCTACTGTGTGACTCAAAGCCTGAGGAGGAGACATTTTTTTTTCTCTCTCTGATCATTTAAACTTTGTCATAATTGTTTTCATTTAAAGGAAAAAAAGAACTTTTATAATGTGGGTTTGTTTTCCTTTGTCATCTGTACTTCAGTCTGTTGGGGTGTTTCTGTAGATGGTGGATCTTTTTGCTTTTTTTAATGGTAGATCTTCTATTAAGTTTATCACCAACTCATTCTATTCTCTGTGGTTATTCAGTAATTTCATTTCAATATTTATTTTCGTGCTGCTTTTTTTATTATAAAAATAAATTGATATACCGAGTAATGTGGATTCCTGTTTGTAAGGCGCATAGCCCTGTGTGTGTGTCCATCACTTTCTCTTGACAGCCACAACGTAATTTATTGCTGTAAATTTAGCTGCAGTGACTGGTTTTTTTGTACCTTTCCAATAAAGCATTTTCTGGTTTCAGAGTTGTGCCTGGTATATGATCAGCATTTTGGAGTCTGAATTAATCTTCAATGGAATGCTTTCCTCAATCTGTTATTTCAATCAGTATGTGTTATAGATCATTGAGGCCTGCTATTTTTTAAAAAAGTATAAGCTGGGCATATGCAGGCGCTACACTCGTAAGGCCTGATAAAATGGGTTTTGCCTACAAAGCTCATGATACTATATATTTTTATTAGTCTCTAAGGTGCCATAGGACCACTCATTTTTGAAGTTACAGACTAACACGACTACCCCTCTGAGACTCATAAGGAGCTGCCAGAGAGCCATGTTTCTGGCCACATAGTTGTAAACTGGTAAAACAGCAGCTTAGCATGTAGGTGGTAGTTAACTCACCCCATCTCAAAGCCTTGATTGGGGAGTTTCAGGGAGCTAGTGTGTATACCACTCCCAACCCAACAAACTTCCCCACTGACAGCATTTTTGGTGCCCTAATCATTTCGAAGTGACATCTGTTTGTTCAGTGGTTCAGCATCTTCCCTGGCCCACTTCTACTTTCCTGATTCATCTGGAACTAAGTATGCTGAAAAGATGTGTGTATTTATTCCTCTACATCACCTGCATTTCTCTCATATGCACAGTGGGCTCCAGCCATGCAGCCTCTCAAGTTATAGACATTGTTTGTACTTTCCTAGAAAGGTCACCAGGAACCAGCAGATACTAGCACTGCAGTAGGTTCTATTCATGTTACTCCATCAACAAGGATCCAGTTAAAGTGCTGATGGTGTGCTACAAGTTTTCTTGCAGAGTAGCTATTGTGGAGAGCTCATGCTAGAGAACTATTTTTCCTTAAATGTGTATGTGTATCCCACCTTTCTGTTTGTGGTCATGTAATGGCAGCACTTGCCCCAGGGCAAATGAATGTTTTAAACTTCAATATGATGTTGTGTGTGGGTGTGTCTTGTCCCTTTCAAACTGAGAGAAACAACTGGGAAACAGAGCTTGTAACCTCAGCACTAGCTGCCCTGGGTCACAGGCCACATTTTAGGAACTGTAGTTGCAGAAAACACAAGATGACTGAAGGCAGTGCATTTAATCCCATACTTCATTATTTGCCTAAGGGTATGCCTGCTGTGGGCAGGGGGCTCTCCAGCTCCATGGGGCCTGCCATGAACAGTGAGTGCTCCAGTCCAACTGGAGCAGCTCCTGCAGCAGGCAGGCAGGGAGAGCAGCACTTTTGCTGACTTTATACTTCCATCCTCAGCCACTTGGTTGCAGCGTTCGCATGTGTACTTGCTGTGGGAAAATGCAGTTGCCCCTCCTCCATGAACTAGGGACCTATGCACAAAGTTTCTGTCAATCAAGTGAAAGAGTAGCCCTACCCTTAGAAGAGAGTTGGGTTCTTAGTGCATGGGACTGGGGCACTTGTTTCATAGACTCAGGGGTTATGTCTAGACTGGCATGATTTTCCGCAAATGCTTTTAACGGAAAAGTTTTCTGTTGAAAGCATTTGCGGAAAAGAGCGTCTAGATTGGCAAGGATGCTTTTCCACAAAAGCACTTTTTGCGGAAAAGCATCCATGCCGATCTAGCCGCGCTTTTGCGCAAAAATGCCCCGATCGCCATTTTCACGATTGGGGCTTTTTTGCGCAAAACAAATCCGAGCTGTCTACACTGGCCCTTTTGCTCAAAAGGACTTTTGCCGAACGGGAGCAGCATAGTATTTCCGCAAGAAGCACTGATTTCAGACAGTAGGAAGTCAGTGTTCTTGCGGAAATTCAAGCGGCCAGTGTAGACAGCTGGCAAGTTCTTTTTGCGGAAAAACTTGCCAGTCTAGACACAGCCAGGGCATTCATTAAAGAGGGGAGTTAGAAGGAAACTGAGCTCTGGTCTACACTGGGGAGTCATTTTGAAATAAGTGAAGCAGCAACACTACCAAGCCTGTTGTTTCAAAATAATGGGCTGGTAATTTTTAAATAACTCCTGCTTTCTACAAGGAATACCACTTATTTTGAAATAGTTATTTAGAAATAGCGGTAGTGGGGATGTTCCACTGCTGCTCTTTCAAAAAAACGACTCCCCAGAGTCATTCAACGTAAGTACTCCCCAGTGCTTCCTGGGCCTCTAAGTTGAGGTAGCTCATCCACATTAGGGAAACCTGCCTCGGACTAATTTCAAGGCTTCACACTGTTTTGAAATAATTTCCTAGTGGAGACATGCCCTGAAGCAGACTTCATCCTCCTTGTTCCTCTACTGAAGCAGTGTAGAGGCTTTTGGCCAGGATAAGCAGGTTGAACATGCTAAAGGGTAAACATGCTTCAGTGGGAAGGCTGGGACATGGCAAATGGCCTGAATGAGCAAGGCTTGGTTTTCAGTGAGCCTGACAAGGGCAATGTGTGTGTGTGTGGGGAGGAAGATGGGCAGAGCAGCTGTGGTGGTTGATGAAGTAGGTTTGGTTCCCCTCACCCCATTCTTCTGACATCCCCCCCCCCCCCCCCCCCGTTGATATTGTGGGGATGGACCAGGCTGGGTGGCGGATGCAAGCCTGAGAGGATGGCTGCAGCATCAAACACGTTAGCCTTCAGATGATGTAACGTGCTGCTCGCGTACCAGTGTGAAATCTAGCTCCTGCTGGAGACAGACTAGCCCATTACCTTGAAAATTGCAGAGGAAATGCTACAACGTGCAGGAGAGCAGCTTCACTAGAGCAGGACAAAGGTGGCGGCCCTGAGTCAGGAGCACTGGCTTTTAATGGAGTGTAGGACGCTCTGCCCCACGGGAATAGTCCAGTCATAAAGCCACAGCTGGTATTAAGCTTCAAAACTCCTGAATTTTCTTAAGCTATGTCTAGACAGCAGCACTAGTTCGGGATACCGGAAGTATCCCAAAATAGCTATTCCAGTCTTTAAACATGCCGGTTATTTCAAAATAACAGGTGTGTTATTCCGGCATCCCTGTAATCCATGATGATTAGGGACTTGTCAGAATACTGCTTTATCTTGAATGTTGGTGCTATTTTGGAATTATCAAAATAAGCTACGCCGTTTGCAGTGCAGTGTAGATGTCCCTTCGTGGTAGCATGCTAGGTTCCTGGTCCATGACTAGCATACCGTGTTAGATACTGCATAAATAGAGCAAAACAACGTCCCTGCCCTAAACAGCGTACAATCTAAATTGAGACGAGATGGAGTGAGGAGCATGGGAGAGCACACAGGGCCACTAGCTGGAGCTGTAACCACACTTCTCACTATGCTTCTGGGAGGTCTGCTACCTAAACTACATTTATATAGTGATGGGCAAATACCCCATAGGCCTTGATGAAGCAGGTAGCTCTTATGAGGTCTGTTATGAGTATGCACACACAGCTCTGAGTGTTACTTGGTTGCAGTGTGTAAAATGCCAGCAAACAGAGCTGTGATCCAGCTCTTGTTTAGGGAGAGGCAGGCAGGTGCCCCAAAAGCTGGGAGGAAAACAGTCTTGCAATTCCAGTAATCATTGTCAGCTGCCCTTCCTGGAACCTGCCTCTAGCTCTCCTCCAGGCACCAGGACAAAATGAGACACTGGGCAAGCCTAGGGTTGAGCTCAAGGCTCATTGAGGGAGAGAGGCCATTTATTAGCATGTCCCCTGGGGACTCAGTGGCTAGCAGAGGCATCATTCTCTTTAAGGCGTTTCCCATGGCTTTGTTCTCCGTGCCCATTCACCACCATTTCAAAACACACACACGGCATCATCCTAATGAAAGAGCAGCAGAGAGTCCAGGCTGACCCCCAATCGTGGTCCACATGGGGTCATGCCTGCTGTTCAGGAGCACAGCAGCTGCTAGTATTCAGTCAGACTCAGGGCTGCTAGAGGCTGATGGCTTACTCTTGCCTGCAGTGATACATCAGCATGATTTCTTTGAAAATGAGAGCTGGCCTGCATCTACTAAACGAGGGCTTGACCAACATTGACTGCAGCAGGACCTGCACTTGCTACCAGTAGAGATGAACACCTTGGAGTTCATACTCCATGCAGGGATGTAAGTTACATTTATTGCTGTTCTCTTGCTGGAGTCTTTATCCCAGCACATTAGGCAAGAACATTAATAGCTGTGCTGCAGTCACCTCTGCTATCTGCCCTCACCCCTCTAGCTGAAGCAACCTCTGTCCCACCTCTGCCAGGACAACTCTCCCCAGGCAGCTGGAGTCAGGCAAACTACCTTGTTCAGCTAGAGTGACTGCTTTGATGGCCGTACTGTAAAGCAGAATAGCTTTGTCAGTATCTACACAGGGCACCTTGTCATGTTTAGCACATGCTCTCTTGCTCCAGACAGCCCTGGACAGGTCACAGAATGCCCTGCCCCTTCCAAGATAGATTTGCTGCAGCTTCTCCAGCTAAGCAGGCAGCAGCAGTACTGGGACCCTCTGACTACCTCAGCTACAATGCTACATGCTGCTAGAGTATTGCTCTCTGTGTCTTCCAGCAAGATGGGGGAGCGTCTCTGATCAAGTCTATATGCCATCGTCCAAGCATAGCTGCAAAAGGCTAAACAGCCCAGTTTGAAGCTAACAACCTCTGACAACTCCAGAGAACAAGACAGTAGGGAGAAGGGATGCAGAGGAGAGCACTGGGTTCTACCAGCATAGAAAAGGTGACGTGAAAACCTGTGAGGACTCCCAGAGAATCATACAATTCTAAAACTGGAAGGGACTTGAGAGGTAATCAAGTCCAGTCCCCTGTCCTCACAGCAGGACCAAGCACCATCTCTAGACCATCCCTGATGAAGTTTGTCTAACCTGCTCTTAAATATCTCCAGAGATGGAGATTCCACAACCTCCCTAGACAACTTATTCCAGTGTTTAACCACCCTGACAGTTAGGAAGTTTTTCCTAATGTCCAACCTAAACCTCCCTTGCTGCAGTTTAAGCCCATTGCTTCTTGTCCTATCCTCAGAGGCCAAGGAGAAGAATTTTTTTTCTCCCTCCTGCTTGTGACACTCTTTTACCCCCCTCTCAGTCTTCTCCTTTCCAAGCTAAAGGAGCCCAATTCTTTCAGTCTTCCTTCATAGCTCATGTTTTCTGGACCTTTAATCACTCTTATTGCTCTTCTCTGGACCTTCTCCAATTTCTCCACCTCTTTCTTGAAACGTGGTGCCCAGAACTGGACACAATACTTCAGCTGAGGCCTAATCAGAACATAATAGAGCAGAAGAATGATTTCTTGGGTCTTGCTCACAACACTCCTGTTAATGCATCCTAGAATCATGTTTGCTTTTTTTTTTTTTTTTTGCAAGTCTCTCGCTGACTCATATTTAGCTTGTGGTCCACTATGACCCCTAGATCCCTTTCTGCAGTACTCCTTCCTAGACAATCACTTCTATATGTGAGACACTGATTGTTCCTCTCTAAGTAGAGTACTTTGCATTTGTCCTTATTAAACTTCATCCTATTTACCTCAGACCATTTCTCCAGATCATTTTTAACTATGGCCCTATATTCCAAAATTGAGACCCTATTCTATCATGGTACATTATGTGTGTACAGGCACTTCTGCCTTAAGATCTAGAGGCCAATGAGGTGCTTCTGAATTTGGTGTCAGTGTTAGATGGCAGAAAGCTGCTGGATCACATCTGCCCTCACTTACGGCTTTGCCAAATGAAGCACTCATTGGAGCCGTAATAGAAACAGACATTTATTAGGAAAAACAAACCAACCAACCTCATAAATAGTAAAATGCAGCATTACATTACAATTTCTACTTCAGACTCAAGGGAGCACAGAGCTGGGGAAATTGCTAGCAATAAAAGGGTCCCCTTCTAAACAGAACCAGAGGAGTTAACTGTCCATTTATTACATGGCAGCAACTTTGAGGCACTGTAGGTCCTTTTAAGGCACACTGAAATGGTCTCCCCACCACAAATAAACTGAGACAAAGCGATGCCAATACCCAGATGAGTTTCCAGTGGGCATTCTGATAGGAGAGAAGGGGTATGGTCAGAAATTGGTGCAGCTTTCTTCTAAGATCTAAAATACTATTCTGGAGAGATGTTGGAGAGCTCATGGAATAGGGTGCACTATCTGTTGTTCAGCAGAGAGAAATTAATCCAACTGATCCCATATTCAGGTATTTGTCCCCCACAAATGACTTTGTGCAGGTCAACAGAAAAAGGAGTCAGGCTTATTTATATTTTGCTCACCATCTGTCTTAGAACAGAGCCATTCTGCCATTTTTGGTCCCCTAGGTGATCAGAAGTGGGAACCAGGACCCCAGCAACAGATCAGTATGTAACTCAAGCAGGGGCAGAGCTGTGCTAGGGTTTACAAGCAAACACTTTCCACATATGAATTGTGGTTGTGGGGTTTTAATTTTTTAAATAATTCTGGTTCTCTCCAGTCTAGATGAAGCCAAGTGCTATGCATTAAAATAAAGTTGTTTCCTAGGTGTAAGGAGAGCAGCTTAACAACAAAAAGTGTCCAAGAAGTTTCCAGTCAGTGAATTCCTAACCCATTACAGTCATGAGAGTTCAATTCCCTGCAAAGCAAATAAGCCAATTGGAATCCATTTCAATATCTGATCCACTCCAAGGTAGATCATTGTTCTTTTAAAGACACAAATAAGGGATTTCCCCCTCTCAGAAACAGTACAGGTAGCAGCACGTGAATCTCATTTTAGCCCTTTCCTTGGGGGTTATTACATTTTAATCAGGTAGGTACCAGAAATTAGCTCATTTTTTTCCTCTTCCCCCATAACTATTTCCTACAAGATTCCTGAGGTTTAAGTTTTAACAAAAATAATGGCAACTTCCAAAATGCCAAAGCAGGAGATGGACAGTTGACCTGCCATTCTGCTCTTCTCCTCAGCACTTGAGCCATTCACCCTTTTTACTTAGGCCAAGAGTCACTAAACAGAGTCATGATGCACAGAGCAATTCTCTTCCCCCAAATGCTCTTGCTCATAGGCAAGAGGCAACTGAGGACGAGCTAGTCCAGCTCCCAGGAGTCCTGGTGGCTTCCCGTCCCAGCATTCCCACCGCACTGATGCAGACACTAGATGTACGTCACAACACTGGAAGAGGGGCAACTTCACGGATAGAAACGGTGACTGACAAAAGTATAGGGGCCTAATGAGAACAGAGGAGAACTAGTCTCCAACATGTGCAGGGCAGGATAGCAGAAGCCTAGCACAATTCAGCCCCTCTCCGGTTCCTTATTTCTTTCCTTCCAAAGCAACTGCTGGTCTTAGCTTCTTTGGCTCAGGTCTCTTGCTCTCATTTGGCTCCAGATTGCTCAGCCTGGGCTTTGAGGTAGCTTCCAAGTTGAAGGAGATTAACGGAGACAACGAGTTTTTAAACATCTCCCATGCTGCTGTCCGCTCAGCTCTCTCCTAGGGTTCGTCGTCGGAGAGCATCAGCACTCTTTTCTCAATGTTTTTGCTTTTTTTGGTATTTTGTCCATCTGCTTTGGGTGCCGTGTGTCCAATCTGCCCAGGCGCTTTCGTCTCTGCCTCTTGCATGGACTGCTGGGTGTACTGCTGGTAGGTGGGGGAGAAGTTGTGGATGGCATCCTGCACAATGTCCTGAGGGCTCATTGTCTCCTTCAGCCCACTCGAGATGCTCTGCATGGGGGCCACGTTTGCTGGAAGCAGAGAGAATGGTTATGAGTGGTCCACTTTTAAAAGGGAAGGAGACAAGGGAGATGGGAAGGCAGGCAGGACCAGACAGAGATCCTAAGCCTAGCCATGTAATAAAACCTTGGGCCAACAGGAAACACGTCCCAGTGTGCAGCTATCAAAGCACATTGGATGCACGGGCTTTGTGAGTGGTTACACTTAAATTGATTTAGCTGGGTGCAGGGTTAACAGCCGTGGCGATTTCTAGGCAAGTTTGAGATGGGTGAGAGTCTCATTTCAGCATAACAGAAAGGGCTATATTTAGACAGTACTGGGTCCTGCCATGAGGGCAGGGGACTGGACTTGACCTCTTGAGGTCCCTTCCTGTCCTAGTATTCTATGACCAGCTAAATCCATACACAGATGAAAATGGCTGTGTCTTTGTTAAATGGACAACTTGGACCAAGAGATTCCCCTGCCTGCCCTATGCTCCAATTCTAGCAAAAGGTAGGAGCGCTGTTCTTCGTGCCATGAACAAGTACAGCCTCCCTAGAAGGTAGCAGGTGGGCAGCATGCAGACATGGCCTGGTCCGGCTATGAAGGGTGGAACAGCTTTTCCAACAGAAGGATGAAATCCCTCTCCGGCATGCTGCCCGCACCAAGCCAAATGCTGTGACTCTTAAGAGCCCAGATCACAGAGATCGCCCCCTTTCGTTCTCTTGAATATTCAGCCTTTGGGCTTTGCAAGTGACCAGCCAGCTGTTAAACAGTCAGACTCCTTGAGACCACTGCCCCCAACACTGTAGCAACTCAGGGCACAGAGACCCTGCTCCAGCAGCAAGGGCTGCATGGGAAGTCTTCTGAAGCTATGATGCACTTTGATCAGCCTCACTAGCCTTGGAGTAACACAAGGCTTCCTTGTTCCCTTTTCCCCCATGGGAACCTAGTGTGGTCACTGCACCATTCCCATCGTTGGAGACCGAGGCCAGTCATGGGATCTGAAGTAGAGCTCAGTGGTCATCACTCTTCCAGGAACACCCAGGGGCCACTCTCCTTATCAGGGCTTGGTTGTGAGCAATAACCTTGTGTTCATAACACAAGAGTGCAAGGCAAGATGCCTGGGAAGTGGGAGGGAATGGGAGAGGTGGCCCTAGTGACATTTCAAGAGCTCAGCTACGTGCACAACCTGATGGTTCTGAATCGTTTGACACAAGGGTGTTTCCTTACACTGTACATGCAATAATGGCAACCCTCTATTCCAGCTATTCCTCCTGGAAAAAAAAAACCAAACAAAAAAAAAACCCACTCTTCCCACCCATTAGCAGCTGCCTCAAGGCATCATGAGAGAGAGAACTGAGTGGATTTAACAGAACAGAGATGACAAATGGAGTCTAAGGCTTTTTGCTGTTCAACTGAAAACAGGACCCCCTCATTCCTTACGTGTTGGGGCCCTGAGGATGCAGAGAGGATGGCTTCCGAGGGCAGTTACCTGATGAGCTTTCCTTCTTCTCTCTGTACACCTGGCAGGTAAAGGCATAGCGCAGAGCAATGGCAGCAAATAGCATCTCAATGCAGATTATGAAGTTTTGGTAGCCAGCAGCGACCGTCCCAGCCCCCACCTCCTTCCCGTCAATGATCTGGACCTCAGGGATCACCCCACACTTCTCCAGGATGGCTAGCAGCATCCCTGTGGAGAGACACAGGAAGGGGGTCAGATCTGGGTCAGCGCATGCAGTAGGCTGCACTGCTGCCATAGGGCCGCATGCTGCCCCCAACTCATTGAGTGGAGGGATCAGGGAAAGCTCTGGGACCCACCTTGCCAGAAGGAGAGGAAGATGACGGCCTTGATGGTAAGGAACTTGAGGACTGGCTCAAAGGGGCGCAGGAGATCCCGGGTGGCGAAGTAGAAGAGGAAGAGCGCATAGAGGGCCATGCTGACAGAAAAGTTGTAGATGATGGTGATGTAGAGATAACCGCTGTGAATACTGAAGAGAGAGAGAATGACCACTCTGTGCTGCTGGAATAATGCCCAACCAGAGATCATGCTGGCAAGTCGCCAGGAACCTAAATGGAACGGGCTGCAGCCACTCCTCCTCTGCAAGACAGAGGTTACATGGAGCTTGCAGATGCAGAGCAAGAGGGAGTGTTGCATGCTGGGACTTATTCTCTCCAACTGCAGCATCTCCTCCACATTTAAGAGAAAGGCACCTGCAGCCCTATTTCAAGGGGCTGTGTTTGACTGGGTGACAAGTACCATACAGAAACACAAGGAAATTGCTACCATGGTGGCTCACTAGGCTGAGGGCTCCGTACTGATGGGATGGAAGGTTAAAGGTCACAGTCCAAAAACTGAAGTGCAGGTAGAACAAATGCAGCGGTTGGAAAAACAACCACAGTCTAGTCCTGGAGTCAGAGGAAGGAAGGGAACGGCCCAAGTTTGTGTATCTGGATTAACAGCCTAAAAATCTTTTCTGGGTTTGAGGCTTCTCCCCCTAGCGCAGGTGTGGGGCAGGCATGCAATGCCCACTTCACTCGGGTGTGTTCCCCTCCCCCAGCATGGTGCTAGTTACAACCACAGGGCTTAGCACCGTGATCCACAGCATTTTCCAGTCCACACCCAGGAAGAGGCAACAGCCTCTCTCCCCATTGCAGGGCTGGTCTGGGCCCTGTTGCTCTGGGAGTTACAATGACCACAGATTGCCACCCCCATGAGCTGTGGTAGGAAGGGTGTGATGGAGGGGATGGTGTCCCAGTACAGGACACAGGAACACTCTTCCATTTCCCCCTATGGTTTCCTGTCCCCACCACTCCCAGAACAGTTCCCTTTGGAGAGGAGCGCCCTGGAGATAGGGGATGCCTCCACCAGTTCAGAGAGGAGCACTGATGCAGCCGTTTCTGCCCGGGGGAATGGGTTGTCCCCTCAACCTGGCACTCTCACTTGAAGTCGCCATCATGGTATTTCCCAAATGCCTGCAGGATAATGGTGACGATCGCCATCAGGGGCTTCACAATGCAGAACTGCAGTGTAGCCTGCAGCAAGAGAAGACACAGCATTATTTCACACTTGGGATTCAAGAGAGATCCCGCCGGAGGTGCTCGCTGGCCTCCCAAGAGCTGCTGGGCCTGCAGTACGCAAGCCACATTCCCACGCCACCTGATCCCGAGAGAAAGGAACGGATGGCGAGACAGCCCCTGGGATGGCGGGCAAGGAGCTAGAGTCCTCGGGGGGGAATAAAAGGATTCCTCCTTCTGTTCAGAAACAGAGCAGACACTTCTACCCCTTGCAAAGGGGTCCAGCGATACAGAGCCAAATAGATCAGCCCTGGGCAAGTGGCATGCCTGTAGCCCCCGAGTCCCTTGCCAGCAGGATCTCTTCCTCTGCCAGCCCCATGCATTCAGCCTTCCCAACCCACCCCATCTCCTCCCCCACTGTCCAGGTCACTGTCAGCCAAAGCCTGCCCCTGGTTCTGATTTGTGAGCAGTGTAGTAAAGAAGCAGGTCTGTAGCCCCAAGGGAGTGTCATGAATAGCAGCAAACCCACTGAGACAACATAACTGAAGTTCCCCTCCCTCCAGCCTGGGCCAGCACCTGCAGAATGTGCCCGATGGTAGGTGCCTTGGGTAATTGGTACCAATGGGTACATGAGCTTGGGAGGATGAACACAGAATCTAGGCACCCCAGTGGGAGGGGACCCTGACTCAGCCGTGAGTCAAGAGGCAGGGCACAGGACACCAAGCACAGCTGATGGCTACTGGCTAGGTGCCTGCTGTGCTGGATTCACCACTTCACCTTGGAGGAAGATCAGGAGCACGAGGGAAGCAGGGACTTGCAATTGGATGGACCAGGGCTCTCATTTAGCCTTAGCTCGTATAACCTAGATTAACCAGACCAGGCCAGAGACCAACCTGCTTGCAGAATCTGAGGAATCCAATGGAATAGGACATTCCTTGCAGGCAGCAAGTCCCGTAAAGGCAACTGGACCTAGAATCGGAACGAGAGCTGGTGAGCGTCGGGCCTGGAGGGAACTTGCAATTGGATGGACCAGGGCTCTCATTTAGCCTTAGCTCGTATAACCTAGATTAACCAGACCAGGCCAGAGACCAACCTGCTTGCAGAATCTGAGGAATCCAATGGAATAGGACATTCCTTGCAGGCAGCAAGTCCCGTAAAGGCAACTGGACCTAGAATCGGAACGAGAGCTGGTGAGCGTCGGGCCTGGAGGGAAAGCCAGCGAGAGAGCCAAAGAACCTGACAGGGACTCCGACTTACGCGATGGGCTTCCCCCGGATCTCAGACATGATGGTGCTCTCTCCTCCAAGGTACTCAAAGCAGAGGCTCAGGAAACTGTAGATTACAAATGCTGAGAAGACAAAGATGGGCACGTGAGCATGGGGCAGGGAGGCTCTCACGGATGGGTTATGTGCTTCTATGCATTAGTTTTATTACCGGCTTTCTGGTTGTTAACCTGTCCTGGGGAGGGTCCAGGAGAGTCTGTTCTAATGATAAAACAATCAATGGGAGTTCAGAGGGTGGAGCACCCCGGGAATTGGTCTGACATGCGGTGAGCTCATTTCCTCTGCAGCTTGATTCTAATTGAAGTTTTATTAACAAACCCAGTTGGTTATCTTCCCCCTCTCCACCTTCAGACTCTTACTCCAAGCAGCATTCCATGCCATGGTATCTGCTGACCCACAGCAGAGATGCCAGGGAGCTTTAGGGTTAAAAGAGATCCAGCGTCGCCAACTTCCTGACTGGGCCCATCCCTTTCTGAACCATTCAAACCTGCACTTTGGAAACAGTGCATCGCTGCTGCAAGTGGTTGCATATTACCACGTGGCTAGATAGTAGCATGTGGCTGTTCCTGAGCTTGTGGCTGTTCCTGAGCTTGCAGGCAAATGCTAGATCTGCGAGGGAGAAGGTGTGAACAGTCCCTGTTCATAGCAGGGGCATAGCTACGGGTAGGCTCTGCTCCCCCTCCCCCACTTAGCATCCAAGCCCACCCAAATCCGAGCGGAGCGTAAGGCTGCTACAGCAGCCCAGATTGTCACTTGGGCACCAGAAGTCCAGGACGGAGCTATGCACCAGCCCTTCAGAAAGCTACGCTCCGGCTTCCGCCTTGTCATGTTGGGAGCGGACCCATTCATGTGCTCAGGTTGGCAGGGGAAGCTGGAGGAGATGCTGAGCTAGCACAGTCTGTCTTTCCCAGTCCTCTTGAAAGTCAAGGCCCACCCAAATTTCCATTCCCAGCCAGGGGATGGGAGTTATATGGTCCCATGGTGCCTGGGCTCCAGGAATATTCCTGGGCTGCGGGCCTGGCACCAGCAAAGTTCAGAGCCAAGTCTCCCCCAGCCCTACCTGCTGCCCCGGTGCCCTCCCACTGTGCATCCCCTAGCCCACTAGAAGATTTAAAACGACTCAGGGCCCCCAGCTGCCGTGGAGGCAGTGCCTGTGGGGCAGAAACATATGGAAATCCCTCCCTCCCCCGATCCTCCCCACCTTGGAGCTGCTGCCCAGGTAAGGAGTGCCCCAGGTAAGTGCCATGCCCCTCCCCCTAGAGCCATCACCCCTTATGGACCCTCATTCTCTTCTCCAGTCCAGTGCCTGCACTCAGACTCCATCCCAGAGCCAACACCCTAGGGCCATGCCCCTGCCACCTATATTTCCTCCCACAGTCCCACCCCGTACCCTGTCCGGCACTCAAATTCCGGCCCAGAGAGAGCCCGTCCCCTCCCCCAACCAAACTCCCTCCCAGAGCCTGAGGCATGGGCGGGGTGAAGTTGAGAGTGAGGAGGGCATGTGGACAACGGGCATTCGGAACCACCAAAATGTCTACAAACCTGATGCCCCTGCTCCTAGCTACATCACAGGTTCATAGCCTCTTCCCTCCTCAGCCTGACTTCCCTTGGACTCTTTCCACTTGGAATTCATGGGAATGCTAAGACGAGGGTGCCTATTTACACCCAATGGGCATTCTTCATTTAAAGTTACAGCATATTTCACAAAAACTCCAGGCCTTCAAGTGCAGCAGTGCCATTTATCACCACCCACTCCCAGGCTACATCTAGATAATGGGGGTGTTGCAGGATACCTATGGTATCCTGTAAAAACCCCACCGCATCTGGGGAACGCGTTTGCTCTTCCGTGGAAAAAAGTGGAAGGGCAAATAAGCTCTCTGAGAGTCCTGTAAACCTTGTTTCATGAGGCATAAGAGCTCCGCCGAAAGAGGAGGCTTTTCCACCATTTGACCCCGTCTAGACTGGGCCAAATGGCATTAAAGCCTCTTCTGCAAAAGCAATTGGAAAAAAGCAATTTGCGTAGCTTTTTCCAATAAAGCCCCGTAGTCGAGACCTGGCCTCAGTGAGCCAAGCAGCTTCAAATCCTTCAACCCCTCCCTAGCGCAGCTAGCCAGTGAGATCTGGGATCTCAGAAGTTGTAGACGAGAAACTCCCTAGCAGCTTATATCCTCAAGCCAGTCACTAATCCAGGACTGCACAGTACAGACCTGTTGAAACCGATCACTCAAGAGCGAGACAGCCCCCGCTATTCCCAGGCAAACATCTATTAAAATGCTGGAAGCACTTAGACTTTGCTCTTGACATATCCCGAGTGTATTGACTGCATAGCAGGGAGTCCAACCTGTGGGATTTGAAGTGAAGGGGGGGGGGGCGGCTGGCAGAATCCTCCCACGGAAGAGGATGGGAAATGTTTGCAATTTGTAGAAACCTAGCAAAATTCAGAGGCAAAAATTCTGATCTTCAGAAGAATTTGAGCCACAGGGTAACGAGAGTTCTGGCTATTTTATTCCATTTTACTTTTAGCCATCTCTGGCAAGGCACGGCTAGCTGCCCTAGAAGCAAGTAGTCACCTCAACTCTCCCCTTCAGTTTGGGGACAGAATTTTACCAGAGGTTCCCAGAAACATTCGTCTTCCCACCCCACTTGCAAGATCCTTCTTTAGTGCATCATTGCCACTTATAGGTCCATCTCCATTCAACACCAGTTTTAGTGGCATGGAGAAGAGTGGGTGTTGATAGTTTCCATTGGTCTCTATGACAACAAACCCTGGAGTTACTAGCAGGCAAAGCACAGCTTGATAACTCTCCCCGGGTTCTCTCTTGGACCTTGGAATAGATGATTTGTGAGTGGGGAGGGAAGGGAAGGGAGAGGGGGAGATTTCAAGACACACCAAGGTGCCATCTTGCCTAGTTTCCACTGAAAGGGAGACCTCCATCCCAGGTTCCTCCTACCCGCCTCTACTGGAGACCTCTCCCTGCCTGGCTCACCTTCATAGCAGTCACGCACAGAGTTGAAGTACACGTAGTACTGGTGACTTCCAATGAGCAGGAGGCTGAGCCAGGAATCAAAGGCGTAGATAGGCACAATGAAGAGGATTCGAATGATGTAGCGCTGCTCGTTAGGAATGGTGTAGTTCTTCAGGTGCATGTAGATCTGGGGAAAAGAAGAGTCTGGGTAATGTGATCTAGGACCACATGGAAGACCTGCCAAAAAGCAGCCTAGAAGCAGACCTGGCAACAGGCCACCATGCCTGGTGCAGAAAGGCCAATCTTCATATCCCTCCAGCCCATTTCTCCCTGTACATCTGTTTCAGGCAGCAGGAGCTCTTGACACCTGAATCAGAATCCATCCAGATACCCTGCCAGACTCCACCCACCACCACATGGTCCTGGCAACCTGCAGGAAGCACATAACACACACTGCCAAAACACTGTGCAGGGGAAATCAGAGACTAGTATTCCTGCAGGGAGCAAGTGCAGGCATGGGGGGATTAATCCCATTGGCTAGAAGTGTAAAATCTCCACACAAAGTACTACCCACACCTCAGTCCTACCATCAAGCACCATCAGTCCCCAGCTTTGCCAACACATTTTAGTCCTGACTGGTCGCATCTTGTACTAGGGATTCTCCTCAGCAGCAACCACTGAAAGGGCAAGAACTGTGTTGTTCCTTGGAGCAGTCAGGGCTGGGGGGAGAACGCCACATAAAAACAAGTGAGCTGAGACCAACTCACTCATGTCACGTGAGACCCCCAAATCAATTTTAAAATGTGGGTCTGCAGGGCGAAGAGTCCGGGTACCTACACCACTGCACCACCTGGCCTTGGAATGAACTGTCATAGGAATACTAACACTGGGCCATAGTCTGCTTTCAGCCACACCAGTATAAGTCTGGAGTAATTCTACTGATGTCAGTGGAGTTACTGCAGCATACCTAGAATTGGGTTTGAGGGACAAACGTTACAGATAGCCCCACAGAGGACACACATCTTCACACAGAAGTTTTCACAAGTGGAGTAACGGGGACAATAGACAGGAGACTCAAGATCTCCAGAAACCCCCATAACCCTTAATCTCACAACTGCTAAACTTCTAGGATCTGAAGCTTCAGGGGGTAGCCGAGTAGTCGGTACAGGATAAACTTAACACAACAAATGGTCTGGTAGCACTTTATAGACTAACAAAACATCTGTTACAGCTCCTCACTGGGGCAGGTGCTTCAGATAAACACAGCGAGCAATGCCATGCAGGCAACCATGCAGGGGAGTGGAAGGACAAAGTCTACCAAGCAGTTAGCACCGGGTTTGCGAAAGCTGGACACATCCCTCCCTGTAACATGCTGGTCTAAAATTGGCAGAAGCACCTGCCGTAAATACTATAATAGCTGGAAGGCCATAGCCAGGAGACTGAGCTGCTTGGCTGGGGATACGGGAAGCAGTTAGAGACAAGGAAAGAGTCTTCACTTGCTCGGACATGGAGGCCGTTGAGAACCCTGAGATTCAGTGAAGGCGGCTTGCCCTTCCTCCCTCACCCCAAGGGGTGTGCACCATAGCTTTCAGTGCCACACAGACCCAAGGGAACACCCCTCTTCCTGCAGAGCCCTGCCCTTACCTGATGGAAAGTGAGAATCAGTGCTGACCACACAAAGATCCCAGAGATCACCTGCGCTGCCGAAGTAGTCAGGAAAATTTGCTGGCCATCTTGAGAGTAGTTCTGGAGGACCCTTGGCAGGGAGCTGTCTTCAGCGGGGAGATGGCTGGAGTCATTCAGAGGGGAGATCCCAGGCTGCAGCATGCTGCCAGCCATGCTGCCAGCCACACCAGCCTCAGTGGGAGAGGACACGTTGGTATTTGTGAAATTACTCATCTGGCAGAGAGGAGAGAGCAAAGGTAAATGCATCCAGGAAGGGAGAGAACAAAGCAGAGAAAGAGAGAGGAGACAATGAGCAAAGGTGAATGCCAGGAATCAGTATGAACCGAGCACAGAATGGCAGGGGAGCAAGGAGGAGGAAGCAGGAGGAGAGGAGAGAGGAAAAACAGAAATCCTCAGCAGACAGGGCAGGTGAATAGATGCATTTATCCCTGACAGCCTGTGTCAGAGCATGGTCTCGGGATTTAGCCCTAGAAGCAGCGACCGGCAGACGAGTTCCGCTAACCTTAGAACTCTTCTCAGTAGCCTTCACCTCAAAGCAGGGATTTACTGAAATGCACAAGAGACTCTGGGACACTTTCCTGGGCTGTGCCCACAGGAAGGGGTAAATATTGGCCAGAAGGCAGTTCCTGGGGTAATTCTGGCCAGACTCTCCTGGGCAGCGTGGGGCTCCTACAAGAAAACTGGTTCCATCAGACTGGCAGCCCCTTTGTACAGGCCCACCTGTCCCAGACAAGCAGCAGCTTTTGGGTCTTTACCCAACCTGGACAGTGAACCCTAACTCTTGCCCACTCAGACAGAGGTAGAACCCTCTCAATAAGCACCAACAATCAAGCACCAACACTTCAGAGTCTCTTTAAACCAACCAGTCACTATGTTATCGGCTTCTCCTCTCCTCCTGGGGAGGGTGCCCACGTAGCCCCCATGAAATCTGTGTACAGGCAGCTCCTCGCCACTAAGTCAGCCTGGTTCCTTGTCTGTCCATCCCTGCTTCCTTGTCTGTCCATCCCTGCTTCATGTACACACTTCCTGGTCTTTCCTCCCACTCTTCCCCACACGGCCCTGCCAGGGGCTTGTCACACATTAAGAGCTCTCCTTGCACCTGTGCCCTGGGAATTAATCTCTGACCTGCTGCTCACCATCCCCAGAGGTCCATTTCCCGGCCAGTCAGAATCAGTGATTGAAGGGAGGGAGCAGTGACGTCTCAGTCAATCAACAGAACCTCAAACCCTGAGCCACTCAGAGGTAGAATCTGGCAAATAAGCCATCGAGGCTCCGATTGCCCATGCAGAAATGCCCGCTGACATCCTGTGCGCACATCACCATTGCCTTGGGAATGCACCAGCAGCGTTGAAACTTGTGGCTGCCTCACATACTTCTCGGTGGTCTGGTGCCAGGAGCTACTATGGGTGCTACCTTAGAAGCCACAGGCCTGGCATTGTCCATGGCTCCAAGAGCCATAAGCCAAGTAAAAATAAATGCTGCAACCATTTCATGCACGGGTATGAGCACAGGGATCTCTGGCAAACACTCACCATTTCCCTGCAAGATTCAGAGGGCACAAAAGATCAGGGAGCTAACATGAGCTCTTTGTCCAAACTCTGTCCAGCTCAGAGGGTTTTAAGACAGTAACCTCAGAGCCAGGTGGCCCATTGAAAAACTCTTATTCCACTACAGTTATGACACAAAGGGCACCTTGATTCTGCCCTTGGCTGCAATTCCCACTGTGCCTACATATCTGAGATTAAACTGGAATCCAAGTCTCATTTTTAACACTTAAAATAGTGGTTGTTCCTAGTTCCGGGGCTAGTGTACCCTGCACTGGCCAACATCCTTCAACTCAGAGGCAGATGCATTTCAGTGGTGGTGTGTCTCTCTCATAGCATGTCAGGCACTGTGGGATCCACATAAAAATGATATTTTGCCAACCCTGGAGCATAGCAGCAATCTCTCAAAACTAAAATCCTGCAGCCCAGTGCATTGAGGTCCTATTATCCCTTTAGGAAGTCTCCACACCACCAATCACCCACAAAAGAGTCAGTCCAGTGTTGGGTAGGAATCCTCTTCCCAAGTCAGATCTCAAATCCAAAGAACAAAGTATTCCCAGCGTGTTTTGAGCACCACAGACCCTGTGTCTGGGCACAGAGAGGACCTCACAATACATTTCTATTTATAGCAGGACCTCACACACAAAGGCCTCCAGGCACCAAGCTGCCAATTTGAGTCTGTAGTTTCTTCGGCTAAACTGCTTGTGTTGTTCCCCCATTCCAGGAATCTGAAGAATTTAATGATGCTTCAATTTTTTTTTTTAAAAACATCTAACAAGTTTCTCCCCAAAGTGGATAAATAGATTTCCCCATTCCCTCCCCCCACCCCTTAACTATCTATCTCCTGGAAGCTAATCCAGCAGTTTTGTTTGCCCAAACTCCCAGGGCTGGGGGAGGAAGGAGCCATGTTAGAGATTGATCCAATTATTTAAATAATGCTCACAGCAAGAATTCTCCCCATAACCGCCTTCTCGGTTCCCCACACAATTCCTACCTTTCAGGAGAGGAAATTCAGATGGTGTCAACTCCACAGCCACATGATGCACCAGCGACTGAAAAAATATCACTTCCCCTCCATTGGCAGGAGAAGGGCTGGGTGAGAAGAATTCACATGCAAGCCGAGAGGTCCCGACTGTCAGTGGTGGTGTAGCCTCTCACGTTGGCAAGAGCTCAGAGTTCACCCCTAGAACATCTGCACCCGGGAGGGGGAAAGACGAGAAAGAAACAGACAGGTGGAGCAAAAGAAGATCAAGTTACCAAGCAGTCACCTGACTGCCAGCTTTCTCTGTGTAACAAATACATTGCTGGATTCACAGCTTATTTGTAACCTCTAGGGAGCAGGATTCAAGGGACAGCAGTGAGCAGGGGAGGGAGCTGGTCTTTGGACAGGCTGATACACCAGAGACCCCGCCATATAAACATTAACAGGTTGGCACAGAAAGTACTGGATTAGTGGAAAGGGGGAGGAGGGAGTAAAGATTTTCTTTGGCTTTTAACAGCACTAAGCCCTTCCTTATTTGCTTTGTGACCAGCCTTAGAACAGCCTGGTACAGTAGCAGCGTGATAGCACTTGGACAGCGGGCGAAGGCCAGGCTGGGACCCAACCCTCCTGCTTCCGCTGGGAAGGGATGAGGCAGTTCTATGAAGTTATCCAAAGACAGAAAATATTCCACCACAAGGCAGGAAAGTCTTAGTGCCTAGTGTGAGAGGCACTGGTACATCTACCAGGTTGTGATGATACAGAGAAGCAAGGGAGCCGTTATCATCTAGTCATATTTCTTTTCTGCAGCAAGTCAAAGGAGGAGATGCCCTGCAGATAGCTTGACCCAAAAGACTTGCTCATTTGGGATGTGTCAAGGAAAGGACAAAGTAGTAATGATTTATGAAGTGTACTGGAAGAGTCACCCGGTGTTGCTCAGATCCTTAACTCAAGTTTTGTTTATCATTGAAATCATTGTTCTGGGGTGGGGCTGAATGGTTAAGTATACAGGTTGCTCTGGGGAAAGGAAAACCCCATCCTTCTCTCAGCAGAAGCTTGGGGCCAGGTGAGAAGCACCTGTCCATGGCTGCTGCAGCCAGCACAGATAAGGAAGGGGGTGCATATCCCCCAGCTGGGGGACAGACACACAAACAGACAACCTCTCTGGACTATATAGAGGATAGCTGTTCCTTTCTCCACCCAGTCCCATCTCTGGCCCCTTGCTGCCCCCCCTGTGATTATTCTACACTATAATTGTCCCTCCTACCAGATCCACTCCCTTTTTATTTTATGAAAAGCAATCAAATTTCAGGCACATCCCATTGTCCCAGCACAGCCAAACTCTGACCTTGCTTTAAGTTATAGTAAGAGGAAGCTACATATCAAATGTATCAAACTCTTACCAATTAGGAGGAGCTCTTGAACAAATGGACCCACACACTGATGCACAAACTCTAAAATTTATAGTGGATTACTGAAGTACCTGACAGCCCCATTCAAAGGCCAAGACCAGTTTTCTCTCAACTTTTTTCCATCCATCTACAGAATAAATTTCGCTATCTGCATATGCCTCAGTGCACACGTGGACCACTAACTAGAAACACCTGCAGCCAACTATGGATGCTGTGTTAGCTTGGTGGCATTTGAATCCCTCCTGGCTGGCCACCCAAGCACTGAGCTTACAGGGAACACTGCCCAGGACCTCAGTGTGCTAAGCCATTTCTCAAAGCAATGCCTGATGGGAACCTGTACAGACAGCCTCGGCTCCACCCAGCATTGTGCTGAGAGTACGGCCAGGCACGTAAGGGTGCTAAAATCAATCTAGAGGCACAGAATGCGCCTGCTCCACCAGGGCTCTGCTAAGAGGTTGTTTCCACCTATTTATTTGAAAACTGTGCCCAGTTAGAGAGAGTCTCAAGACTGACCTGTAGCATTTTGGCTTTGGTCACGGAGTCACATGCTCAAAGGGGGCAAAAGCCCTCCACTCTCCAAAACTAAAAAAGGATGCCATGTTTGAGGCCAACTGACCTAAGGCACTTGACCCAGGTCCTCGATTTCCATTAAAATCAATGAAAGGTAGGAGCCTAAATTCTTCTGAGAACCGAAGCCTCCATCTTTGTGCCTGCTCTCCAAACACTCTGCTTCTTGGATTCTGCTCTGTCAGGATGACAAACTCCTTCTCAATAGATGATGGGCCATCCATGTAGTTCTACCATTCAACCTGAAGAGCACCAGAACACAGCAGGTGGCGGCACCTTCTGTCACTGCTCACCTGATTCCTAAGGAGTGTGAGCAGGACTTCTGAAGTTTATGAAAAGCCAAGATGACTCACTCTGCTAACACAACTGATCACGAGAGATGCCTCTCCCCTATACACAGGGAAGGAAGAGCACCATGCGTGGCC